TTGTTTCCACTTGGAGCCATGACTGTGCAAGTCTTTTCCTCATCCTCCAGTGTGGTTTGTTGCTTACTTCCCATTTTGCAAATGAATCCTTTCTCTGATGGAAGGTTTGGCGGCCATATTTTCTTATATTGTGTAGGTTGCCTTCTCAATCTGTGGATTGTTGAAGAGACTTCCCTTGGTCCGTGTGTAGTCTTGACGAGGACGCCATCAAAGTGGGAGATGACTTGTGGACTCTCTGTTCTTGTCCATGTTCTATGCTCCTATTCAGTGACCCCAGTGCCATAGTGTGTGCTTTCTGTATCTTTCTACGGAGTTTTCCTGTCCACAAATATGGAGCCACCGCCTTGCTCTTCAATCTCAAGGGTATTTTGATGATGTGGGCAACTTTACATTTCCATGTATATTTTAGTATTTCGATTTCTAGGGAATGACATTGTGATTTTTTTAAATAGGAATGCATATGTCTTTTTTTTTTGTCATGAGTGAATTCTTTTATTTATTTTTTAATAGTTTACTGTCAAGTTGGTTTCCATGTAATACCCAGTGCTCATCGCCACAAGTGCCCTCTTCCATGCCCATCACCCCCTTCCCGTCTCCCCACCCCATCAGCCCTCAGTTTGTTCTTGGCATTCAAGAGTCTCTCATGGTTTGTCTCGCTCCCTCTCCCCCACTAGGTTTCCTCTTCTTCTCCCCCATGGACCTCTGTTAAGTACCTCCTAATCCTCCAATACATGCAAACAGATGGTAGCTGTCCTTCTCTGCCTGACTTCTTTCGCTCTGCATAACGCCCTCAAATTCCATTCATGTTGCTACACATGGCCAGATTTCATTCTTTCTCATTGCCATGTACTATTCCATTGTATAGATAAACCACATAATCTTGATCCATTCGTCAGTTGATGGACCACACGGAGATACCACCTCATGTCAGTCAGAGTGGCTAAAATGAGCAAATCAGAGGACTCTAAATGCTGGCGAGGATGTGGATAAATGGGCACCCTCCTACAGTGTTGGTGGGAGCGTAAACTGGTGCAGCCCCGCTGGAAAACAGTGTGGAGATTCCTCAAAAATTAACAATAGAGCCTCCCCTATGACCCAGTAATAGTACTGCTAGGAATTTACCCAAGTGATACAGGAGTGCTGTTGCATAGGGGCACGTGTACCACAATGTTCATAGCAGCACTCTCAGCAATAGCCAAAACATGGACAGTGTGATTTGGGTAGGTGTGTCATTGAACCTGAAATCATTTATTCTAGGAACTGGCCGTTGGCCTTCCTCTTTCAGGGTCTGAAGGTCTCAAACGGTGCCAGTTAGAGGCCAGAAACTTATTCCTTCAACATCAAAAGTCAGATCTGGCCCTCAGTTGACATCAGAGGAATAAGCAGGGGATCAGCGCTTATGTCTTCTTCATCGTTGGATTTTCATGCTGTGCGATTGAGGGTGGAATCTGCCTTAAATCAATTTTACATATGGCTTCTTAACTCAGTGCCTTACACAAAAATAATACAATAATAGAAAGCCTCTGATTGCCCCCTCACACCAGCCACGTATCGAGTATCCCATAACAGTTAGAATTTCTGGATGTGACACTTAGAGTGGCAAGGTCTACCGGGCAGTAAAAAGGTAGTACGAAGGTGATTTCTGCAGATTCTCTGTCTCATGGGAAATTCTGAAAGTGTGATCCATGTTGTCCTGAAGGGCTGCACCTACGTCCAGCCTAGTGAACATCTGCAGACCGCCAGAGAGTTCAGGCAGATGCTGTCTGACCCTCGGAAACCTCAACTTGAGTCGGAGTGCTGGGCAAGCCCTTCTCACTAAGATTACCTATATTTGTGTTCCTACAGATTCGTGTCTGGAGAGCACAGCAGAGTCCCGCAACAAGGAGCCGGAAGACGCTGCAGGTAGGGAGCAGCACTCAGTTAGAGACGGAGAGGGCTGCAGGAACAGTGGGGTTGCTCCTGATACTCTGGAGTCCGAGGAAACTGTTCAGGAAACCAGAAGGGAAAGGGGAGTAGGTGTACAAGCCTGATTTGTTGTTTGCAGAGGTCACAGACATACTACGGAAAACTACTCAGACATTCGAGGTTGCTTTTCGTCGAGCACAAATTCCAAAGTAGACATGATGGACACAGAATCCTAGCAAATACATGATGGGGATCCTAGGGGAAGGACAGATTTTCCAAGAGACAGACCGTGATGACTGGGATGAACTTCAAACAATCAACAGAGGCTATGAGACCCCCATCTTGACACACAAGGCACTTCAGGATTTCCACGAGTTTTATTAACTCTCTCACCTTTATCAGGATCATGTTTGCTAGAAAGATAAAAGCCCCGAGGCCCGTAACTTTCCTGCTCCTCTGCTGTGTCATCCGTTGTCCCCTAAGAGGATGCCCAGCAGCAGCACAATCCATAATTACTTTTCACTCATATGCATGCGCTCACCGCATGTTCACATCAATAGAAACCCTGACTAGTCTTTGAGCTGCCCACCAGTGATATCCATTCACCACCCGTCTCCATCGTGTTGTGTCTATGACTCCCGTTGAGCAAAGCAAACCTCCTGGAATAATTCCTGAGCAGTCCCACTGGCATCCTGAAACTATCCGTGTATCTTCTTAGGTACCCCCTATGAATTCACGGCAGTCATTCCGTTTGATGACGGAGACGGAGACACCACATCCACCTCCGAGGTATGCGTGCCTTTCTTTGTATAATGAAGATTGCTGTATTTCTCTTTAAATGGAATTAAGGTATACAACTCTCAGCATGTGCAACCTGTTGGTATATACAACTGACTTAATATGGGGAGTAACCACTGACAAACTGTGACCAACGGATCAAAGATTGGAAATGTGTTTTAAAAAGAGCAGGATCAATTACCACCTGCAGGATACTGACCAGTTTATGAGCAGCCAATTTTTGTTCTTGCATATAATTTTTCCAATGTGACTTGGGTTGTCCATGGGTTGCTCAGTCAATTAAGCGTCCAACCTTGACTCAAGTCATGATCTCGCGGTGCGTGAGGTAGAGCTCTGCATAGGGTTCTGTGCTGACAGCTGAGAGCCTGGAGCCTGCTTCGGACTCTGTCTCCGTCTCTCTCTCTGCCCTCCCCCGACTGTACCCTGTGTCTCTTTCTCTTTCTCTAAAATAGAAATAAATGTTAAATCATTTTCAAAAGGACGTGAGGCCTAACTTCTGTACCAATATTGGTGCCTTGTCTAGGACTCTGCTCTGCTCTTGCTTTGGGGTTCGTTGGCCTCTGTCACTCTTTCCCATCTAGATTGCTCCTGACACCAAGGTGACAAAAGAGCTGTGCCAACAAAACACAGCATCATCGGATTCTCATAGTGTTTTCTTTTCTGACATTTCAGAGCACCCTGCTGGAAAATGAAAGCGGTATGTATTCTGGAGTCACTCTCTCGGTAAGGAGAAATCCGGAAGATGAGAAGGGTGGGACTTTCTTGCAGTCTTACTGTGCAGAGCCACCCTGATTTCAGCTGCTGTGGGTCTGACAATAAGGACACTGCCTTCCAAAGGGCTTCTCCAGGAAAAGACCTATGGTCACAAGGTAGCACCCCGGAAGCAGCTGTACTGCCATTAGCTGGTGAGGTTTGTGTGCAGGGAGGTAGGTGTGTCTACATGTAAATCCATGTGATGTGACTCTCAGTGCTCGTGTGTGTGTGTGTGTGTGTGGTGTGAACGCACACGCACGCATGTGTTTGTTGTACCGTGTGTTTACTGGGATGTATTTAGACTTCCCTAAGCATTCCTCTTAATTGTGTCACCTATCTCACTACAAAATCCCATCCCCATTACATCATGAAGGATTATGCGTATTAAAACGAATCAAAAAATAGAATGTAAATCTGTTCCTTGTATCCCCAACACATGTGCATGGACAAGGGAAAAAATATCTCACATCGTCCAGTTTCTGTCACAGACCCGTGACAATAGGACCTCACCTCCTGGTAGGACTCGTCGCACGATTGGTCATGGTATGTCACTCTTGCCACTTTTCTGCACACAGCCCTCTTCATCTGAGGCTCCACAATGAGTCTTCCCAACATCACTCTAGTCACAGAGTGCTAGGGCAGGGCTTCTTCCCTCTGCAGGTGGCTTCGTGTTGAGCCACGTGCCAATTCCGATCTGGTTTGACTGGAGAAATCAGGGACTGCTAAGACTAGGCAGGGAGATTCACTCCTTCTTTCTCCACCTTCTTGGAATGGGATCTTAGAGTTCTCTGCAGATACTGCTGCTGAGACTCAACCTGTCTTTCTCAGATGAAAATCGCAGCACCCACCACTGACTGTCGTTGCAGTTCTGTGTGCTGGGCAAAAAGTGTAATTCAAAGAGACCAACAAGGTCTTTGTCAGAGACTGAGCGTCAGTGTGAGCACTTGGCTCTCTTCCAAGGAGCACCACAGTCTATGTTGGGTACTCCAAGGTGTGGAATTAGCACCTCAGCAGTGTGAAGGGAGAATCCACTCTCACCTTCCTGTCCATCTGCCATTGCAAAGAGGGCTGGATGACGTCTGAAGGCTTTTGCAAGGAAACCACTTACAATAGTTCTCGGAAGACAATATGAACAT